GCGTAAATGGCGTACTTTGTAGCCAAAATCTGTTATGGACTCATCGGGCATCCGCCTGCATGCACGGAACTCTGCTAAATATCGCGTACTTTGGTTCGCAGTCCCAAAACGAGCTTCTAAAATATTTACTAATCTATCAAAATCATAATTGTGACCTTATCTGGATCTGCTCGATGTTCATCATTAACTGTTTGCAGTGCAGCACCTGTCAAATTTACAAATAATTGTAATCCTCTATGTTCTGCATCCCATTTATGTAACAAGGCAGTTCCCTTGAACAAAGCCAAATAATCTTCCCAGGGTGTAGTACCATCAAAATGTTTCATTTGAATATTAGCATACTGGTGTGATTTATCAGGGCCCCTTCTGGTCTCTGACTTATCATATGTATTTGTTTTAGTCCCATCAAGTTTATCTGTGTTTAGGGCCTCTCTATATCTAGCGCTTTCAGTTTGAGAATCCCCTTGGCCTCTAACTGCAGACACACCCTTTCTACTAAATGGTAAATTCAAATCATCTGATTGATGCACACGCCTTCCACTTATCATTCACTGTTTTTCAACCACCCCTTCTAATTCTAGCAGTTTTTCTTCCAAACATCTTCTATCACATTCTAAGACAAATCTATCTTTCTCACTAGCCTCTAATCTACTCTCGAGATCTTTATTCTCATTTGCTCATCCATTCCACTAGCTTGTCTATCCATTTGTTCTCTCATTTCTTGAACCAACTCATTAAGACATTCATACTCTTTACACTAACACCTGTCTCATTTGCAACATCCTGCTTCACATTCTTACCAAGATTAAATTCAATTTCTGCATCACTATCACTCTCACTGCCACTATCATTCTCCTTATTATCATTTCTGGGTTCACGAGTGACATCATTCCCATTCATTGCATCAGCCATTTTCACACACAATATTGATAATAAAATAATATAAAACTTTGAAATACACCACACCCAAGTTAACACTCAGTCTAAACTAATGCATACACTCTCTGTACGAAAGGGTTATCAAAGTGAGTACTGTTCATCATTACGTCAGTCATTTCCCAGCCTTCTCTAATCATCAATTTATCCTCCCTTATGCCACCATTTGTGGTAGACGTGGTTTGGCGGTCTAGGCTAGGATTTCAAAATGGTCTCTGAAGGAGTCGGGAAGGCAAGATGGAACTTTTATAGGGGCAGACTGACATAATAAAGCACAATACACATTCAAATAAAATAATAACAACTAGATTTAATACTAAATATCCCTATCACAATTAATATATGCTAGCATATAAAGAAAGACTTATCTGATCAGCTTAGTGAAAAATGATAATAAAGAGTCAGTGTCAAACTTCAGTGATGATCACGTGATGAAAGTCAAGCCCATTTGTAACCCCTATAGTCTGTGGTCTTTCCAGCTATCATTGACTGTATGTAACAGTACGACGTACAGTGTCATCTTGCAGGAGCCTCATACTTGAGCTCTTGACTGCTAAAAGTTTCACCGAGGACTGACTAAATGTTAGTTTAGCAGCTGTTGGTCAATGTCATTGGTAATGCAACAATAAACACATAGTTTCTCATGTGTATCTGTTTACAGAAGATGGGCAGTTTTAATTACTTTATAGGGGAACCGCCCTTGAAACTTGTCATCATCTTGTGATATAGAATCACACTTGTTACCTTAGTACTTGACAGTTCCCACGGCTAAAGCTGGGCCCAAGAGTGATAGAATGTAACTTAAACTAAAAGAGTGTCTAATATTAAGTTTACTCAGTACATCAAAGGCCTGTTTCACACATGCAATAATATAACAGTACCAAGTCCTTCATTTCAATTATACTATCTCAAAATGTCGTAAAAATAATAAGCGTACGTATTGTTGTATTTTGAGAAGGAAGATATCAACAAGATATCAACGTGTACGTGGAAAGAACACTGGAAACGCGCTGATAGGTATGGATAAGTATTTTTAGATGAATATAATTAGGATTTCTTGACATTAAATAATCACAGAGGCTTTGCTGTTCAAACGATCCATACACATTTTGGGAAACATTGGACATGACTAAGTTTGTATATTCATCCATTGATCTCAAGCTTTGTTCAATTTATCGTCGTGACATGGTTATAATGTCGGATAGATCGACCACTGAGAATGCGGCGTTTCAATCAAGACGTTCCACGTTGCTAAGACGCGCACCCACGTATTTCAGCGGGCTCTGCGCGCGCTGCCAAGGAACGTGGAACGCAGAATGAAGAGCCAGTGAAAATTCGAGAAAAAGACAGGAACTCAACTTTGAAGTAATTCCGAACAATCAAATTTATATGCGTTACACACGCAGGGAACACATTTGGGACTATTTC